ATGTGAGAGAAACATTGATCAGCTGCCTCCTGCACACCCCCCACTGGGGATGTGCCCGCAACCAAGGCACATGTCCTTGACTGGAGTCAAACCTGGGACCTTTCAGTCTGCAGGCCGACGCTCTACTCACAGAGCCAAACCGGTTTCGGCAGCAGGGGTGACCTTAACTGTTCCCAAGGAACTCCTTCTATAAATGGAGATGGAGACACCAAATTTAGGCTCTGAGACTGCCCCTCTACCTTAGACAGAGTGACCTATAATTTCCTATTTTACATTTGGTGTCCCTTACATAAGATTTCACCTTGAGTAAAGGAGTTCTGTGACTAAAAGGAATGTGCAGGCCACACTAGAGAGATGATGGTAAGCTACTGAATGTTTTACATTGAGGGGTGGGGTGGTCATACTGTACTTAGATCAACTCTGATTGCAGAGCAGAGAGCATATCAGTGGGAACAGAGTAGATTTGGAGAGACTTGCTAAGAGGTAGGGATGAAGAGTAGAGAATAGATTCAAGAAATACTTAAGAAGTGGCATTGTTTAATTTGGAGTTGGGTGTGGGGATGGGGGTGGGGGACCCAGCTGGCATGGCTCAGTGGTTGAGGGTAGACCTATGAACCAGGAGGTCACAGTTTGATTCCTGGGTTGCGGGCTCAATCCCCAGTGGGAGTCATGCAGGGAGCAGCCATTCAATGATTATCTCTCATCATTGATGTTTCTCTCTCTCCCTTTCCCTTTCTCTCTGAAATCAATATATATTTTTAAAAATATGGAGGGGGGCAATGGGAGAGGAGGAGGAGATTAGTGTGGGTGATTTAGGTGTGGGTGACAGGGGTCTGTGGTGTGGCTCATTGAGGTGGCGGACACAGGAGATGGAGGCAGTGTGGGAGAAAAGCAGTGGGCTCAGTTTGGACATGTTAATTTTTTAAAAAACATATTTTATTGATTTTCCACAGAGAGGAAGGGAGAAGGATAGAGAGCTAGAAACGTCGATGAGAGAGAAACATCGACCAGCTGCCTCCTGCACACCCCCATCAGGGATATGCCTGCAACCAATGTGCATGCCCTGGACCGGAATCAAACCTGGGACCTTTCAGTCCGCAGGCCGATGCTCTATCCACTGAGCCACACTGGTTTCGGCTGGACATGTTAATTTGATGCCTGCTTATTTTATTTTAAATATATATACTTTTATTGATTTTTAGAGAACGAAGAAGGGAGAGGGAGAGACATATATTGGCTGCCTCCTGCCTGTCCCCTACTGGGGATTGAACCCACAACTTGGGCATGTGCCCTGATCAGGCATCAACCAGTAACCTCTCCATGCATGGGATGGTGCTCAACCAAGTGAGCCACACCAGCAAGGGTAGATATCTGCTTGTTTTGCATTTGTTGATGTGGCCATCAAAATTAATCATTTAGAATTAACATGTGCTTGCTCTTTGCAGCAAAGAATGTTTTTATCCATGTCACACCATCTTCCCCTGCAGCCTGCACAGGCACAGGAAAGGAAGGAAGCTGGTTTGAAAGAAGCAGAAAGAGAGTTGATAGATTTGTGATGGGTGTTTAGTGAGGTTTTCTAAATGGAACTAGGATTTCATTTGGCTCCAGCAAGCTGAACATCCTGAGGGAGGTCAGCCTGAGCCCTGGGGATGCTTTGGGTCAACATCTGCAAATAGCGGGTCTCCCTGCAGGTAAAAGGGTCATGAATCTCTTTTGTAAACTTGAGGATTTGCTCTGTTCTTTGATAGAATGTTTTGAGGCTGTCAGCGTGGGAAGGATGTGGGCTCACAGTGGGTACACTGGGAGGGGAGATGTGCTGATGCCAGAAAGCTTTGAAATGGACAGTGAAGTAGTCTCAGGTACTTAAGATGCTATTTTTGAGTCAGACTCAGAGCCAGAGGAATTTTTAGAACTGGGATTGACCTTTGAAGTTACATAGGTCAGCATTTTCCATGAATACTGATGGAAAAAAATATGATTTAACAAGATATTAGAAATGTCAGTTTACACAGTGTTAGTGGAATTATTTTTTCTTTTTTTTTTCTTTTTTTTTTAGGTTTTGCCTAGGTTTTATTTTACTAAATATCACAAATACATTTTCAGTTCATGCCAGCAATAACTGTGTAGCCAGTGTTTTATTATAAACATCTGAGCTACAAAAGCTTAGTCCAAGGAACCATTAGGAAAATTTTCACCAGCTCTCTGTTCCCCGGAGGCACACTTTGAGGACAGGCACACTTTGAAAAGCATGTCTTAGAACAGTGGTCGGCAAACTCAAATATCAACAGTACAACGATTGAAATTTCTTTTGAGAGCCGAATTTTTAAAACTAAACTTCTTCTAACGCCACTTCTTTAAAATGGACTCGCCCAGGCCATGGTATTTTGTGCAAGAGACACACTCAAGGGGCCAAAGAGCCACATGTGTCTTAAGAGCCACATGTGTCTTGCGAGCTGCAGTTTGCCAACCAAGGTCTTAGACTGATGTGCTTTTCTGGCTATTTTCCAACATGTTTATAAAATTAGTTTTATTATTTAGTGATGATTTTTTTTCTAACCACATAATTGGCGCTGTAATGATCTTTCCTTGTAACAATCATATTTTCAATCCTCCAAACTTTATTGATGTGTGGTAGATATATAACATTGTATAAATTTAAGGTATACAACTTGATGATTTATATATGGATACCAGAGTCCCAGTACACAAAATTCGTGCAAGGGAGGGGCGGGGGCAGTGTCCCCTCAAACCAGCCTGCAACCTCTCCAATCTGGGACATCTCTCTCACAATCTGGGACCACTGGCTGCTAACTGCTCACTTGCCTGCTGGCCTGCCTGATCGCCCCCAACTGCCCCCCCCCCCCGGCCTGGTCCTCCTTGCTGCCCCCCCACGGCCAGCCTGGTCACCCCCAACTGTCCCCCCTACGGGCCCCGTCTCCCCATGTACCCTGTTGTTTAGTCGTTTGGTTGTCCCTCACTAACCCCCTGCCAGCCTGGTTGCCCCACGCGGCCTATTTGGTCGTCCATTTGGTTGCGACGGTCACTTAGGCTTTTCTTATTATGGATACTGTGAAATTATTACCACGATAAGGTTAACACATCCATCACCTAACAAAATCACCTTTGTGTGTGTGTGGTGAAAACATTTAAAATCTACTTTCTTAGCAATTTTCAAGTATGTAATGCAGTATATTACAACTTCAGGAGTTATTTGCCTTATATCTGGAAGTTTGTACCTTTTCATCAACATCTGTTTCTGTGAGTTTTGCAGATGTTCACATATAAGTGAGATGATTTATCTTTTTCTGACATTTCACTTAGCACAATGCTCTCAAGACCCATCAATGTTATTGCATATTAATAGGAATTCCTTCTTTTTTATGACTGAATAATATTCAATTATATATATGTGCCACATTTTCCTTATCCACTTACCCACTGATGGACACTTAGGTTGTTTCCATGTTGTAAGACATGGCTGTTATAAATAACTAGAGGCCCGTTGTACAAAGAGATTCATGCAATAGGCCTTCCTTCCCTTGGCTTCCAGCACCGGTTTTCCTCCGGCACCCGGGACCTAGACCTTTGCTTCAGCCAGAGTCTGCCTTCTTTGGCTTTGCTGCACACTCCAGCTGGAGTCAGCCGTCTTCATCTTCACTGCAGGCTTATCTTCACTGCAGCACTCTGTTCCTGTAGAACCCTTCCCTCCCCCTTGACCCCACCCACACCCTCCCTCTCATAGCAGGTGTCCTGCCCCACCTGGCCACTCTGTGCCTGGAGCAGCTGGGCGGTCACCATCTTTGGCCTTCTAGTTTGCAATACTCACTCTGATTGGCTGTGGGTGTAGTGGAGGTATGGTCAATTTACATGTTTGTCTATTAGGTAAGAAGCTCAAGTGAGCATCTGGGTGCAGATATCTCTTTGAGGTAGTTATTTTGTTTCCTTTGAATATATACTCAGAAGTGGGATTAGTGGATCATAGGGTAGTTCCATTATAGTTTTTTAGGAACCTCCATACTATTTCCCATAGTGGCTGGAGTTAATGGATTTTTTTTTACTGCCAGACTTATTTGAGCCTTTAACTGCTAATGTATATGGTGAGTTTCTTAGAGAGGAATATGCTTCCTCTTGGTTCTCTGAACTCTTTCTTCACAGTGCACTGTGAGATACCGTGTTTCTTACACTTTGGGGAACGTAGAAATAATCGTTTTCTTTGTTTCTTTGTCTTTCAAAGAAACCAAAATTTTTCTTATGATGACTTTAGACCTGGAATTCAGTAAGCTTTCATTTAAATGATGGCCTATTCTTCTACCTCTCTGTCAAAACTCATCAAAATACATTTCCTAATGACAGATAGGCTCTGGTGAAGTGGGGTTTTTTTGTTTGTTTGTTTTTTGTTTTTTAAGTATTTAAGTTCTGGTGGACTCTGAGTATAATAAAAGGGCTGTTCTTTCCAAGCCATAGTGGTTCAGTGGTTGAGCATCTACTCACGAACAAGGAGGTCACAGTTCAATTCCTGGTCAGGGCACATGCCTGGGTTGCATGCTTGATCTTAAAAGGAGGCATGCAGGAGGTAGCCAATCGATGATTCTCATCATTGATGTTTCTATCTCTCTCTTCTCTTGAAATCAATAAAAACATATATTTTTTAATGGCTTTTTTTTTAATGTAGTTGTTGGCCACAGAGTATTAGACTCCACAGCCAAATGCAAACATGTGCCAAGGAAGGAAGATAGATGATGGTTTTCATATCAGCATGCTTTAGCATGATGCTATGCTATAGCTCAGTTCTTCTGTACTACCAGCCCTGTACCTCCTCATGCAAATTGTTACTTGTCAATCTTTATGAATACCCAGATCTCAATTTCATTCATTGTCCTGGATAATCTTTCTAAGCTTATTTGCTGACCCACATTTTAAGAAACCAATACCTCCAACTCCAAATGAAAACAACTTCCCTGAGGAATGTTTATAGTAACATCTCTCTTTCCCCACCCCAGGAATTGGATGAATTTCAGGCATATCCTGTTGAAATAGTGCCAGGAAGGATCTACCTGGGTGATTTCAGGCAAGCCTGTGATCCTAAAATTCAGAAGGATTTGAAAATCAAAGCACATGTCAATGTCTCTATGGAGACAGGACCATTGTAAGTAGCAATACTATTGATTTTTAAAATACTGTATTAAGTGTCATTTGTTTATATAAGATTCCTGGTGACATGCATTTAGAAAGTATTATAGAAAGGTCTCTTAGAAGACAGTGTATACTGGAATAGGGTTTTCACTTTTAACTTCATCTGTTCCTAGCCTATAGTCTTGTTTCCTGGCTTGGCTGTGGCATCCTTTGCCCCTAACCGAGACCTCATACTTACTTCAAAACTCACCAAAAATAAAACTTTCCTGGTTTTTAACATTGTGGTCAAAGTATCCTAATCTACCCTGCTATATATGATAAATAACCCCTATCTTAGTCCATTCAGGCTGCTAAACAGAATACCATTGACTGATGGTTTATAAAACACAGAAATTTATTTTCATGGTGTGGAGGCTGGGATATCCAAGATCAATGTAGCAGGGATTTGCTGTGTAGTGACAGCCATATTTCCACTGTATCCTCACATGGTAGAAGGGGCAGGGAACTCTCTGGGGCATTTCATTCATAGGGCTTCAAGCTCAGGGTCAGATTTACAACAACAACAAATAAACAAACAAAACATTTAAAACAATGGTTTTCAGACAGTGGTTAATAGCACATGACAGTGATTCCAGAATGAATGAAAAAAACAAAAACAAAAACAAAAACAAAAACAAAATGAGCTCCACAATCAGTTTAGCTTATTTCTTAGAGATTGCTAGAGCCCCACAATTAACTTAGCTTATTTCTTGGAGATTATTTAAAGGGGACCAAAACAGATTTTCTCTTTCTTTTTCTTTCTTTCTTTTTTTGTTGTTATTCTTCACCCAAGAATATTTTTCCATTGGTTTTTAGAGAGAGAGGACAGAGAGAGAAACATTGATGTGAAAGAAATACATTGGTTGTTGCCTCTGATCAGGGTCCAGACCAGGGAGGAACCTGCAACCAAGGGATCCATTGATTTTTACAGAGAGTGGGAAGACAAGAGGGAGAGATACATCTATTGTGAGGAAGACACGTTGGTTGCCTCCCGAACATGTCCTGATGAAGGCGGGGATCAAACCTGCAATCCATGAACATGCCCTTGACCAAGAATTGTGAACCTTTGACCCTTTGATGTCATTTTTTTTTTTAATTGAGGGTATAAAGTCAGTAATCCAGAAAGGTCAAGTTGACTAGAATTCTCAAGAGAGAGCTGCATGGTAAATAGAAGGCTGAATACAAAGAAAGGGCTCTGGACATCTGCAGAGAACCCTTGTGTCTTCAGCTGAGTACATAAAGCACATGCATGTGAGGAAATGACTCAAGGCTGGGAGAAAACACAGTGGAAATTAATAGACAGTACAATCCTCAGAGATTATGTGGGGTCAGGAGTCATTCGTATAGAGTAGACAAAACTCAGAATATACAAGGCATCAAATTTGTGTATGGTAGGGTCCCTAGGCTCTGATTACAGGTCAGGCCCAGGGACCCTGCCCTACACAAATGTTATGCACCAGCCCTCTATCTACACTAATAAAAAAGAAAGATGCAAATTGACCATACCTTCTCGATGCCCACCAGCCAATGAAGAGTGAGTATACAAATTAACCCAACAAATATGGCATATTAATTTGCATACGCAGGCACTGAGTGCGGGGGGGGGGGGGGGCAGGCCGGGACACATGGGTCATTGCCATGGCAACAATGCTGGCATTCCACACTGCTCCAGCAGCTCCGGGCCTCTGGGCATCATGGGAAGGTGGAAAGGTGGCTCCAGGCTGAAGCAAAAAGGCGGTTCCAGCTGGAGAAGAAGGCGGTGGCAACAGCCAGGGGAAGGAAGGCCCATTCTTGCACGAATCTTCATGCATCAAGCCTCTAGTAATTATATCGAATACTTTCACCTTGTTTGCAAATATTTTCAAGGCATATTATTTAAAGACAAAATAGCAACAATACATTTTGTGTTTATAGCATATGTAGAAGTAATATATATATATGTCCACAATTTACTAAGGCAGGAAGAGGGAAAATAGAACTATATACCTGTAAGGTTCTTACTCTGTTTATATGAAGTGGTATAATGTTAATTGAAGGTAGATTATAGTAAGTTAAAGATGTATTCTATACACTCTAAAGCAATCACCAAAAAATAGAACAAAACAAAAATAAGAGATATGATTAGTAAGATAACAAAAGAGATAAAGGGAGTCATATAAAAATTCAGTAATCACACTCAGTGCAAATGGTCTAAATATTTCAATTAAAAGGCAGAGGTTCGTCGAAGCCGGTTTGGCTCAGTGGATAGAGCGTTGGCCTGCGGACTGAAAGGTCCTGGGTTCGATTCCGGTCAAGGGCATATATCTTGGTTGCGGGCACATCCCCAGTAGGGGGTGTGTAAAAGGCAGCTGATTGATGATTCTCTCTCATCGATGTTTCTAACTCTCTATCTCTCTCCCTTCCTCTCTGTACAATATCAATAAAATATATTTTTTTAAAAATAGAAAAAGAAAAAAGAGGCAAAGGTTGTAGGCTGTCTACAATATACTTTAGCCCTGGTTGGGTTAGCTCAGTGGATAGAGCATTGGCCTATGGACTGAAGGGTTCTGGATTGGATTCTGGTCAAGGGCACATACCTAAGTTGCTTGATCCCTGGGCCTGGTTGGGGCACATGCAGGAGACAACCAATCAATATGTCTCTCTCATATTGATGTTTCTCTCAGTCTCTGCCCCTCCCTTCCATTGTCTCTTTAAAAAGTCAATAGAAAGAAAAAAGAATTAAAAAATGTGAAGATAGTGTAAGGAGCCTCTGGAACAATTTCAATGTAACCAAAATCCATAATTATGGAGGTCCCAGAAGAGGAGAGAGAGCAAGATATAGAAAACCTATTTGAAGCTGAAACCGGTTTGGCTCAGTGGATAGAGCATCAGCCTGCAGACTGAAAGGTCCCAGGTTCAATTCTGGTCAAGGGCATGTACCTTGGTTGCGGGCACATCCCCAGTAGGGGTGGTGCAAGAGGCAGCTGATTGATGATTCTCTCTCATCGATGTTTCTAACTCTCTATCCCTCTTCCTCTCTGTAAAAAAAATCAATAAAATATATTTTAAAAAAATAAGAAAACCTATTTGAAGAAATAATGACAGAAAACTTCCCCTACCTGGTGAAAGAAATAGATTTACAAGTCTAGGAAGCACAGAGAATCCCTAACAAAAGGAATCCAAAGAGGACCACACCAAGACACATCATAATTAAAATTCCAAGAGCAAAAGACAAAGAGAGATTATTAAAAGCAGCAAGAGAAAAACAGTTAATTATCTCACGGGAGCACCCATATGATTGTCAGGTGATTTCTCAACAGAAACTATGCAGGCCAGACGGGAGTGGCAAGAAATATTAAAAGTGATGAATAGCAATAACCTACAACCAAGATTGCTTTATCAGCAAAGCTATCATTTAGAATTGAAGGTCAGATAAATTGCTTCACAGATAAGAAAAAGCTAAAGGAGTTCATCAACACCAAACCAGTATTATATGAAATACTGAAAGGTATTCTTTAAGAAGAGGAAGAAGAAGAAAAAGGTAAAGATAAAAATTATGAAGAACAAATACCTGTCTATCCACAAATGAATCTAGCAGCACAATTTACAATAGCTAGGATTTGGAAACAGCCTAGGTGCCCATTAGCAGATGATTGGATCCAAAAACCATGGTATATCTACATAATGGAATACTATGCTGCCATAAAAAAGAAGGAATTCTCATCATTTGCAGCAACCTGGATGGAATTGGAGAACATCATGCTGAGTGAAATAAGCCAGTCAATGAAAGAGAAACACCACATGACCTCACTCATTTATGGATAATAAAGAACAATAAACTGATGAACCAAAAGACAGATATAAAGACAGTAAAGCAACAAGCAGACTGTCAAAGCGGGGAGGGTAGGGAGATCTGGGGGAGATAAGAGATCAACTGAAGGACTTGTATACATGCATATAAGTACAACCAATGGACACAAAACTCTGGGGAGGGAAGGTATGTACGGGGGGGGGGGGAGGGGGGCAATGTTAAAATATGTACACAGATAATAATTTAATAAAAAAAATAACTCTGATTTTATAACCTGGCAAAGACATTATAATATAGAAAAAATTATAGACTAATTTTCCTTATGAATATAGATGTAAAAATCCGAAACAAAATCTTAGCACGTTACATATATATATATATATATATATATATATATATATATATATATATACACAATAAAAGCCTAATATACAAAGTGTTCCCTTGGGAGTTTGACCCACTAGGAGTTCGATCTCTCTCTATGATGTGTGCTGACCACTAGGGGGTGACGCAGAATTAAGGAAGGCCTGGCTGGCAGCTGGCAGCCAGGGAAGGGAGGCCCTGGCCGGCAGCTGCTAGGAACCCTACTTGTGCAGGAATTTCTCATGCACTGGGCCTCTAGTATCCTTATAAAAAGAAGAATGCATAATGACTAAATTGAGTTTATTCCAAAGATGTTAATTTACCATATCAATAAATAGAGCAAAAATCAGAACTATCTCAACATGCGCAGTAAAAGCATTTGATAATATTCACTATACATTCATGATTTAAAAAAAACAAAACAAAACCTTAGCAAACTTGGAATAGCAGAAAACTTCTTTGAGCTAATAAAATAATGACAAAAATCTCTGCAACAAACATCACACTTAATGGTGAAATGTTGAAAGTTTTTCTTCTAAGTCTGGGAAGAAAACAAGAGCCACTCCTATTTAACATTGTACTGGAGGTCTTACTTGGTGAAATACAGCAAGAAAAAGAAATAAAATATGAATCAAAAGGGAAAAAACTTTTTATTCACAAATAATATAATTGTATACACACAAAATCCAAAACAATCTGCAGCTAAATTATTAGATTTAAGTGAGGTTGCTTGGTACAAGATTAATATGCAAATATGAATTGTTTTCTGCATACAAATAAGAAACACAAACTGAAATTTTAAAAAACATAGTTTATAAGAGCACACAAATATTAAATACCTTGGATTATATTTCATGAAGAATGTGTAAGATCTCAACACAGAAAATTATATAGCATTACTGTAAATTATTAAAGTTCTGAATAAACAGAGGATGTACTGTCATTATAGATTAGAAGAATCAGTTTTGTAAAGATATTGATTCTTGCCCAAATGATCTGTCGATTCAGTGCAATGCCAATAGAATCCCAACAGTTTGTGGAAATTGATACAGTAATCCTAAAATGTATAAATTTTATTAAATGCGAAGAGCAAAAATAGCTGAATATTTGAAGAATAACAAATGGGAAAATTTACTGAACTTGACCAAATATTAAGATTTTAAAAACACAGCAAGTAAGGATGGTGATATTGAGAGTTGCAAATCAAAATAACAATGCGGTACCATCTCACACCTGTCAGAATGGCCAACATCAACAAATCAACAAACAACAAGGGTTGGCGAGGTTGCAGAGAAAAAGGAACCCTCGTGCACTGCTGGTGGGAATGTAGACTGGTGCAACCACTGTGGAGAACAGTATGGAGCTTCCTCAAAAAAATTAAAATGGAACTCTCATTTGACCCAGTAATCCCACTCCTAGGAATATATCCCAAGAAACTAGAAACACCAATCAGAAAGGATATATGCACCCCTATGTTCATAGCAGCATAATTTACAATAGCTAGGATTTGGAAACAGCCTAGGTGCCCGTCAGCAGATGATTGGATCCAAAAACTATGGTACATCTACACAATGGAATACTATGCTGCCATAAAAAAGAAGGAATTCTCATCATTTGCAGCAACCTGGATGGAATTGGAGAACATCATGCTGAGTGAAATAAGCCAATCAATGAAAGAGAAACACCACATGACCTCACTCATTTTTGGATGATAAAGAACATTATAAACTGATGAACCAAAAGATAGATATAGAGACAGTATATCAACAAGTAGACTGTCAAATTACAGCGGGGAGGGGAGGAAGATCTGGGGGAGATAATAGATCAACCGAAGGACTTTTATACATGCATATAAGTACAACCAATGGACACAAAACTCTGGGGAGGGAGGGCATCTCTGGGAGGTGGGGGGGGGGGGCAATGATATATGTACCAAGATAATAATTTAATTAAAAATTAAAAAAATATAAAAAGGATGGTGATATTGGTACAGGATAGAAAAATAAACTAGTGGAGCAGAACAGAGTTCAAACAGACCCATGCATATATAAACACTTGAAGTTTTTAAAATTTATGCATGCACCCCCACTTGGGCCAGAATTGAACCGGTGACTGTTTAATCCATGTGCGACACTCTATCCACTGAACAAACAGGCTAGGACTGGACACTTGAATTTGGACAAGGATTTTCTTCTATATTTTTTTCTGAAGGTTTATGGATTTAACCTTTACATGTTTTTATTTTGAAATAATGTTTGGTATGGTGCCAGAAATGGAACAGTATTTGTTGTTTTCCACGTGGAGATAATCATTTGTTGAAAATATGATCCTTTTCCTGTTGAATTGCTTTGATACCTTTATTGAAAATCCTTGTCAAAATTAAAAATTCTGGATTGTGTTTCATTGGTATATATCTTTCTTTCTTTTTCCCTCCCTCCCCCTCTTTTTCTGGAGACAAAGGGTGAGGGATAGAAGCATCAGTGATGAGAGAGAATCACTGATTGGCTGCCTCCTACACACCCCACTCTGGGGGTTGAGCCTGCAACCCAGGCATGTTCCCTTAGTGGGAATTGAACCGTGACCTCCTGGTTCATAGGTAGATGCTCAAGCACTGAGCAGGGCAGTATATGTTTTTCTTTACACCAGTTCCACACTGCTGATTACAGTAGTTTTTTTTAATAAATCTTGAAATCAAGTTAGTCCTCTAATTTTGTTCTTTTTCAAAGTTGTTTTGTTTGCATTTCCATATAAATTTCATAATCAGCTTGTCAGTTTCTATGAAAAAGCTAGCTAGAATTTTGATTGGAATTGAACTGACATCTTAACAGTGTTGAATCTCTTGATTACTTTGCTCTTTAACTTGTCTCAGAAATATTTTATTGTTTTCAGTGTATGTTTTTTTTGTTTTGTTTTGTTGTGTGTTTTTTGCACATTTTGTGTCAAGATTTTTTTCTAAGCATTTGAAGATTTTTATGTGATATTTTAAGATTTTCAATATCTGTTTATTTGTTGCTAGTACATATAAATCCAATTGATTTTTATATATTAACCATGTATTCTTCAACCTTCTCCATCAGATACAATCTCCACTGTAAACTATCCCCATTCCTCCTATCACGTATCATGTGCAGGTCTTTTAAAAATGTTCTATTGCAAATATCCCCCATTTCATGTGCAGGTCTTTATCCTAGCATCTAGCTAATTGGTGTGGTGCCATTTGTTTATGTATCCGCCTCCCCCATCAGATTGGAAGTTCCTTGAAGCTGGAAGGGAACCTATTTGATATTTGTTTCCAGCTTAAGGTCTGGCACACAATAGGCATTGAGTGAGTGTCTATGAGGAAAGAATGGATGGGTGGGCCTGGGTAGATGGGTGGGTGGGTGTGGAGGGATGGAGAGATGGGTGAGAAGGATGGATGAATGGATAGTTCGTTGTGCTTGTATTTATCATACAGAAACTAAACCAAACCAGCCACTTTTGTTTCTGAATCTACTGAACTTTCTGCATGCCACAGCGGTCTGCATACTGAATGTCACCAGTAGGCCATAGTCTTCATAAACAACATTATGAAGTGCTTATAGTATTCTGGGCATTGGGCTAGGCTCCATGCAGGCACACACTCATTAAGCATCTCACTCACCTCATCTCTCCACCACGTTCATAAAACTCTAGCCACTCTGACCTCCCTGTTGTTTCTCAAATACACTACTAGTAAACATACTGTCTGTCAGGGATTTTGCACTTCCATTCTCCTATACCTGGAACACTCTTTCCTCAGATAACTGACTGGCTTGTTTTCTCACCTCCTTTAAGCCTCTGCTCAAATGTCACCTCCTCAGTAAAGCCTTCCCTGATCACCTTATCTCAAACGCTATTCTCTATGCCTCTTACCTTATTTTCTTCATTTAACATAGCAGGCTCGCTGAAACTGTTTTGGCTCAGTGGATAGAGTGCTGGCCTGCGGACTGAAAGGTCCCAGGTTTGATTCTGGTCAAGGACAAGTAACTTGGTTGCAGGCACATCTCCAGTAGGGGGTGTGCAGGAGGCAGCTGGTTGATATTTCTCTCTCATCAATTTTTCTAACTCTCAATCCCTCTCCCCCCCCCTCTGTAAAAAAATTAATAAAATATATATTAAAAAAAAACACATAGCAGGCTCATTCTTCAAAATCATGAATATTTCCTCCCATCCTCATTTTATTGTTTGCAGCATATTCTAGGAAAGTACCATGTTTGAATAATAATAATAATAATAATAATAATAATGTCCTATTTATTGAGCATTTACTATTACAAAGCAGATTGCTAAATGCTGTATGTAGATTAATTGACTTAATCCATATTCCACTCCTATGAGGTAGGTGTTATTTTTCTGAGAGGAGTTCAGGTCCTTGCTCACGTTTTCCTGATCTAGCCCAGCATCCCTCCCCTATGGTCCTGCTGCTATGACAAAGGACACTACAGTGGGACTGTGTGTGAGTCTGCCCAATTACCTGTGCTTTTCTTCTGTTTAGTTTTGCAGGTGATGCTGACAAGCTTCTGCACATCCAGATAGAAGATTCCCTGGAAGCCTTCATTTCCCCCTTTCTGCGCCACCTCTGTCACTTTATTGGTAAGGAGCATTCTCCAACAAGGCAGCAACTGGCCTATGCCCAGGGGCACAGGGACTGTGGCACCTCGTCCACATGCGTATTCCTGATTGGGACTCTCAGTGCTCAGGAGAGAAAGGGCAGCACATGCCCAACCAGGTGTGGTCAACCCTAACACAAGCGTGCTTCTCCAGGGCCATCAGCAATATGCGCAGCCATGCGTTTACCTCCAGGGCAGTAGGGCCAAATAAGAGCTCCAGAGTGGATGGAATACTCTATATTGTGGCCTTGCCTGGACTGGTAGACCTGGCTTCACTGCCTCTGTTGGCCTGTCGTGAAATGAGGGGGGTGTCCCACCATAGGTGCCTATGTTCATGGAGACCTGCTCTTGTGACTCAGAGGTGACTTGTTCCTGCCCTTCTGTCTGGTTAACAAGATGAGGTGGAATGAAGGCTCCAGAGCTTCTGACTTCTCTGATTTTCATTGTTTATGCCCAGTGCCCCTCTGTCCTCTCACCACACACAGTAGTGCCAACAGTGGCTTGCCTCATTGAAAGCCGATTTTTCAGTCATTCCCCAGGCTCAGGATTGCCCTAGTTGAGTAAGATACTTGGAGTGAGTGAGGTTAAGTCAGGTCAGAGGCCCCACCCCAGGACTACCTATTTGGCACCAACTCAGCCCCCAGCCTGAGTTGTTGCACAGGGGGGCAAAGGATGATATTTTGGCTCAAACATCTCTTATTTTCACAGAATGTTGCAACTATCACTTAAATAGCAGCTGAGACAGTCTTGCCACATGTCCCAGGGGATGGCAGAGCTCTATGGCACACAGAGGCCCCCTCTCCAGCCCTCACTTACTAGGTGGCCCTGGGCCAGTCCTTAACTGCTTGGTGCCTCAGTTCCCTTATTCATGAGATGAGTCAGTTGGCCTTATTCATCTCTGAGTCTTGTTCCAGCACTGGAATGGTTATCTTCAGTTCTCAGGTTACCAAACCAGCCTAGGATGACAGCTTAGATTTCCTCACCATCCCTCACTGGGCGAGATTCACACAGACTCAGTGTCATTTTTAGGTATGCACACAGCTGACATTTCCATGCCAGCACTGGGCTAAGCACAGCACAAACTTTATGAGGTAAGCAAAATACTGTTATCCCATTTTCCAGATGAGGAAACTAGCTAAGAGTAACATGCCCACGCTCCACAATAGTGAGTGGCAAAGCCAGGCTTCACACCAGCAGCACTGTCCCTGTCAGCACCATGTGTCCTGGGGGAACAATCCTCTCATCCCCATCCAAGGAGGCCTTCCTGGTCTGAAAGCCTGGAGAGCCAAGAAAAATGCCTTTGCATGCTAGTGCTGAATGCCCAGGTGTGATTCTCTTGAATTGCCAGTGAGGTCTGAGAATCCCATTTGCCAGGTGATGAAACAGTGGCCTAGAGATGGCATATGACTTACCTAGGACATGGTGTACTCCTGGACCCACTGGGGCTAGTCATCTTACATCAACTCAGGTCCACAGGGAAGGGGCATCCCCCACAAACCTTCCTTCCTCTTGCAGATATCCACCTTGATCTTGGCTCTGTCATCCTGATATTCTCCACCTTGGGCATCAGTCGCAGCTGTGCGGCCATCTTGGCCTACCTCATGCACCGGAACGAGCAGACCTTAAAGGTATGCATTCCCTGGCCTAGGCTCTAACTGTAGCCTCCTCCATGAGGTGGGGTCTGAGCTGCACCTGGGAGAAACAGTCACTGGCACTGCCTCAGGAACCTGACTGGGGGATGAGATGGAGAAGGGGCGCTCCAAGTCCAGGGCACACCGTATTCAAGGGCAAGGACCCGACTGTCTGTGCTGGAGATCTGAGATTGGACACATGGGGCAGGCCCAGGGACTCAGACCGTGCAAGGCTGCAACCGGCAGTACTTTCTACATGTCCCCTACTGCCATTAGTCTGTCTATTAGGGTTTATTCATGGTTCTTCAAGAGAGGTGCACTGTTGTTGCTGCTTGGAGTCATAGAATTGCAATGCTGGCAGGGCTTCAGCAGGTACCCACTCCAACAATTATTTTACCCTTCTGCTTGAGGGGAGCAGAGTCCAGAGAGGAGAAGGAAGTAGGGACCCATCACAACAAACCTCGTGGAAACTGAGGGCTCCGATTTCCAGGGCATTACTTTCCCACTACCCACTGCCCTAGGAGATCGCAGGCCTATCCCAAGGGGAGGGCGAGCCTAGTTTGGCACAGCTTGTACTTGATTTCAGAGGTCATGGATAGGACCTGACAAGCTCCCACATTTGTCCAGGAGTGTGCTTGAAGGGACAAAGAATAACCGTGGTCAGAGCCCATTGCCAGTGGTTCTGGCTATTGACTCAGTGTACTCTTTGCAGGTGCAATTATAGGCCAGAAAGAGTCTTGGATATCCAGCAATTCCACTTCTGGGTATACACTCAAAAGAAGTGAAAGCAGAGACTCAAAGAGATGTTTGTACTGTACACCCATATTCATAGCAGCATTATTCACAATAGACAAAAGGTGGAAGCAAACCAAGAGTTTATTGACAGATGAATAGATAAATAAAATGTGGTCTATTCATATAATGGAATACTATTCAGCCTTAAAAGGGCAGAAAACTCTGACATGCTGCAACAGTTGAGGACATTATCCTAAATGAAATAAGCCCATCATAGAAGACCAAATACTGTATGATTCCACTTATATGAAATAGAGAAGTCAGATTCATAGGGCCAGAAAGCAGAATGGTAGATGTTGTTTAATAGGCATGGAATTTTAGTTTAGAAAGAAGAAAAAGTAGCCAAAACCGGTTTGGCTCAGTGGATAGAGCATTGGCCTGCAGACTGAAAGGTCCCAGGTTCGATTCCGATCAAGGGCATGTACCTTGGTTGCAGGCACATCCCCAGTAGGGGGGGTGCAGGAGGCAGCTGATCGATGTTTCTAACTCTCTCTCTTCCTCCCTCTCTGTAAAAAAAAATCAATAAAATATATATTAAAAAAAAAAGAAAGATGAAAAAGTAGAGATATATGCACAATATAGTGACTGTACTCATTGCCATTGAATTGTATGTCTAAAAATTATTAAAATGGCAAATTTTATGTTATGTGTATTTTACAATTAAAAAAAGAAAAGTCTGAATGTAACATCTGAGGGCCTGGAGTGAGAGGCAAGATGCCTGCTCTCTCACTCCATCAAAGGTGAATTGTCGGGTGCACTCACACTGGGGTCACTGCCTGCTTGTGGATTATTTTGGTGTGTGCTGGGACGGGGAGATATTGCTAATATTCTGGGGAAGGAGGCCTGTGTGGTTGCGCCAGTAGAGATGCCTTTCCAGCCCTCTTCCCAGCAATGGGCTCTCTCCTGTGAGGGGCCACTTCTTCAATGCCCCTTTGAGCTGGTAGGGAGAAGGCAAAGAGCTGGTAGAAGGCAGACCAAGCTCACCTACCTGAAGGGGGCTCAGGCATTCTAGGACTTGAACTCCCTTGGAGTTTGAATGGGGCCAGTGTGTGAATTTCAGCAAGCCCTGCCCTGCTGTAGTCCCTGGTGTCTTCATTGTTCATAGGGAAGCTTGGACACAGAAGATCCTTGGAGCCTTCCAGCTTTGACATTTATCCATTCATCTGTCAAAGCTGCTATGAATATGGGTGTACAGTACAAACATACGTCCTAACCCTGACAAGCAAATCACAGTCCTCTCTCTGACTACATCAAAAGCAGATGTTCCAGAGCCAGGTGGGGTGAAAGCAAAGAGAGGAGTCCCCTCACCCACTTGGCTCCTCTAAAGTTCTCCAGCAGCGAGGACCAGGCCCCACAGCAATGTGGCACATGCAGGCCTGTACCTGTTCTTTACTGCAGAGAGATGCTCAGCTCCAGCAATGAGGGTAAGGGATAGCTGGCACAGTTGTTCTGGTTAGTGGGTAGATAGGCATTTGGGCACCTGAGACTCAGACAGTTCTGGTCTCAGGAGACACTCTGGTGCTCCCTTCCTGGAGCAGCAATTTTCATCTCATCTGTAGGGAAGTCTTGTTATGGGACACTCTGCAGAGATGCCATCTAGATAACTCTTGGCCAGAAAAGCACAGCTCCTGGAACTATGGGCGGAAGCACTGTTGCTATGACCTTGCTATGTCCCCTCCAGACTCAGTGAGTCCTGTGTAGCCGTTAGCTTCTCCTGCTACCAATCAAGCACCCTGGATCACTGACACAGGTGGACCTGAGCTCAGCTCTGCGGCTGCCTGGGATCTGGCAGAGACATACCTGCCTTCCGTTGTCTGTATGGTCTTGGGGATGGTCCTCAGTGCATTGGGGAAGCTGGGCTCTTGGCTGCGTCAGCTCAGCTGTGATAGAATCCACAGAACTGGCAAGAAGAATGTAGATCACTCTCCTGTAACCTACTGATTCCTGGGCTTGTAGTCCCAGCTCAGCTTCTCAGGGCACCAAGGATAAGAGTCAGGGTCAAGGAATGAGCTGGGAAGTTTCTAGCACCAGAGCCACTCCTGCCTATCCTAGGCTTTCAAAGCTTTGGGAGAAAGTTGTGTGGGACCCCAGAGCTAGTAAGCCTTTAAGAAAGCAATTTTCTTTTTCATTGAATTTTTATAGAGAGGAAGGGAGAGGGATAGAGAGTTAGAAACTATCGATGAGAGGGAAACAGATCAGCTGCCTCCTACAACATGCCCTTGTCAGGAATCAAACCTGGGACCCTTCAGTCCGCAGGCTGATGCTCTATCCACTGAGCCTAACCAGTTAGGGCAACAATTTCCTTTTGAATTGCTAGGAGTAGCTTTGTCCCTTAAGATCTTGAGAGAAAAACAAAAACCAACTCCTGAGGCATTGTAATAGCTTACATTGGCAGAGTCGTTCCATATAAAGGTTGTTTTAAGTACTTTATGTGTAATGAAAACACAGTGACCTCCACAGCCTGTTATTATCCCATTTTGCAGGAGGCATATAGAGGCTAGGTAACTTGCCTGAAGCTTTATAGCTATAAGTGGAAGAGCCAGATGGCTCAGATGGAGAATCTGGGCTGTTTTTTAAAAATCCTCCCTGGGCAAAACTGGTTTGGCTCAATGGATAGAGCGTCGGCTTGGGGACTGAAGGGTCCCGGGTTCGATTCCGGTCAAGAGCATGTACCTAGGTTGCGGGCATATCCCCAGTGGGGGGTGTGCAAGAGGCAGCTGATCAATGACACTCTCTCATCAATGTTTCTAACTCTCTATCCCTCTCTCTTCCTCTCTGTACAAAATCAATAAAATATATTTTGAGGGGGGAAAAATAAAAATAAAAATAAAATAAAAATCCTCCCTGAGGATATGTTTTTATTGATTTTTAGAGAGAAGAAGAAACAGACAGAGAGACAGAGAGAGAGAATTGATTGGCACACACCCCAACTGGGAATCAAACCTGAAACCTAGCTATGTGTCCTGACTCAGAATTGAACCTGCAACCTTTTGGTATTTAAGCAATGCTCCACCCATCTGAGCTCCTGGATCAGGGCAAGAATCTGGGCTTTTAACCCCTAAAACATCAGGGAGAGCACTTGCCTTGCCGTCTAAAGAATGGAGCACTGCCAGGTCAGTGTAGCTTAGTCGTTGAGCATTGACCCATGAACCAAGAGGTCTCGCTTCAGTTTTTAGTCAGGGCACATGCCTGGTTGTGGGCTCAAGCCCCAGTAGGGGGTGTGCAGGAGGCAGCAGATTGATGATTCTCATCATGATTCCTGTCTCTGTATTCAGAAGCAGAGATGCAGAGGGGCTTGCCAGCTCTGACTCCTTTGCTCTAATGCCATGGTTGGCAAACTGTGGCTTGCAAGCCACATGCGGCTCTTTGGTACCTTGAGTGTGGCTCTTCCACAAAATACCACGGCCCGGGCGAGTCTATTTTGAAGAAATGGCGTTAGAAGAAGTTTAAGTTAAAAAAATTAGGCTCTCAAAAGAAATTTCAATCGTTATACTGTTGATATTTGGCTCTGTTGACTAATGAGTTTGCCGACCACTGCCCTAATGTACTAACCCTTGTTATTTGTGTCCAGCCCTTAAGCCATGTTGCTAGCCCCTGGGCAAATGTCGCCTGTCCCTCCAGAGCTGGCTGTGATCTAAGTGGGAGGAGCCCAGGTCCAGTTCTGAAGTCTTTCCCTCCTTATGTTCACAGAAGTCCTGGGAATACGTCAAGAAGTGCAAAAACAGCGTGCGCCCAAACCAGGCTTTAGTGGCTGAGCTATCACAATGGGAGGCGATTGTTCTCGGAGGCCTTGTCACAGATACCACAGTTGCATTCTCCTGATCTCTGTGGCCTGAAGAACTGTGCTTGGGAGCTTCTTGTGGGTAGTGGGCTGGGATGTGTAACCAGGTTGGTGTGGAAAAGGCCTTTGCTACCTGGAGCCTCTTGTCAGCTTCCCGCATTGATTCTTTCCAAGCTCCTTGTTCATGCTTCACAGCAGTTACTCTGCTCAAACTCAGCAAGCACCCTGATTGATCCCCCTGTCATCCTGGGCCACCCCTATAAGCCCCCCATCATCCTGGACCAACCCCACTGCACTCCAGAGCAGCCCCAAGTGCCTACCATGACTTGGACCCTTTGAAGGCTGCCTGGGGGCAACTCTAGGGGTTCCCTCTGCCAGTGGTAGATGATAGGGGTATCACAATACCCACCCATGGGCACAGATTCCCCAGTCCTAAAGATGCAAGCCCAAACTCCGCAAATGAGAGGCTCTTGGCATAAGGGTACACTTTTGTCTCATCTCCAGTCCCAGCGTGCCCCACCACTCACTTCAACACTTGTACCAATTTCCTTTTACCTGTGTTCACAAAGAAGAGATTCCTAGTCCTCATCTTCCACACCCAGACTTCTATAAATTCCTCAGGTCATAAAAGGAGTTTTCTTCAGAATGCACTTCTGAGCACAGGTAGCACCCAAAGAACAAGCCTGGAGTCAGGGCAGGGCACAGACAAGGGGACTGATGAGGAATTTAGGATGTCCACCATTGTTCATTCAGCAAATATTCCCTGCCACCTGGGCAGGCCCGGGGACATAGAGGTGAATGCCATCTCACCTCTGCAGAAGGTTGGAGGTCCCACCTACCCCCAGCAAGCCTAAGCCCTCGAGTGGGGTAAGGGCTTTTCTGGCCACGCAGGCTTTCGTCAGGTTCTTAGCTGGAACACATCCTGGGATGGCTGCAGTGATGCCTCTGTCGTTAGGAACCATGTGGTAGGCAGGGCAGAGCCTTTGGGAAGTTTTTGGCAGGGACATGGCGGGGATTGGCCTTGTTTTAGGTAGGGCAGTCTGTAGCTGTGTGAAGGGACAGTGGCGGTGAGCCTGGAGGCAGAGAGACAGGAGGCCGCTGTAGGTTCAGAATTCCCTCCTCGCTGAGGCGCAACTTTCCAAGAACGAAAGTCTTTGAAGCAGGTCTTTGAAGCACCTCTGTGGGCTTTGGATTACTTCCAGCATGACGGGCCGGGGCACTGCTGGCTACACCACGCGGTTGGCACAACTAGTGGAGCCCAGCAGGGGACCGCCGCAGCCCCAGACCTAGTCCAGGTCCGGAGTCGCTGGGCAAACGGCTCCGGGAGCACTTGGCTCCGCCCAGGCCCCGCCCCGGACCAGGATTGGCTCAGGGAGGGGCGGGGCCAGCGCGTTCGGGACGCCAGGCCCTGTTCCCATTGGTGGGAGCCGCGGCCCGAGCCCGGAAGCGGACGGGGGCGGAGGCGGCGGACGCGGAGGCACCTCGGCCGGCCCGGGTGCTGCGGCGGCGTCCTCTAGCCTGCGCTCGGCTGTCGCGGGGCCTGGCAGCCATGCCCCCCACGCCCCCGGGCCCGCTGGGCGACTGCCTGCGGGACTGGGAGGAGCTGCAGCAGGACTTCCAGAGCATCCAGGTGAGCGGCAATGCGGGCGCCCACTGGCCCCGAGCCATGTCTCTCTGGCTGGGGGTCATGCGCGGTACGTCTGGCCGCGGGGAGCAGGGGTCAGGAGTTGGGGACCCTGGCTCGTTCCGGAGGGCGGCGAGGCCCGGGGCCCCGGGGTCCCGCCTGGACCCTCCTCTCGGCCTCATGTCAGTGTCGGACGGAGGCGCACTCCGCCCGCACGGCCGCCGACACCCCGGCGGACCCCACCGCGCCCGTGGGACCGAGGGCCTCCCGCGAGGGCCTCGGGAAGAGACCCAGACCCCAACCTCGCTCTTTTACGGAAGAATGGCCGCTTGAGTCAGAGCTGGCCGGGCCCCGTGTTGGGTCAGTCACTCAGCAAACATGCGGTGGGCGCCGCCCGACCGGAGCCGCGAGTAGTGCCGTCCCGCCCCTGAGGCAGCGCCTCCGGACTGAGTGCACCGGATGCACCCGGAGGCGGTCCGGCAGGGCCGGGAGGCGGTGGTTAGAGAAGCCCCGGCCTGGATGGACATGTGGCTGTTGCAGAGAAGTGGGTGCACCAGGCCCTTCAGGCATCTCGGGCCTGGCCGGGATTGCAGTCCCTTTGAGCCCAGTGGGAAGCCGCCGGAGGAGTTGGCTGGCTCTGGCTGTGTTGACCGCTCTGCTGTACTTTGGGGAGTCCAGGGAGGAAGAAGGACAGGTGGGGCTGGGTGTGGGCAAAGGTGGAACATGCTGGGTTCTGAGGGGGCGTGTTGGCAAGAGAAACAATACTCAGACTCAGGAAAGCTGTGTTTTTTATTAGGACTTTACCTCTCCTGGACTGATTCCAGTCCCTTCCTGCTCACATTAAGCCAAGCTGCACCCCTGGCCAGCCATACCTGCTGCCATCAGTGCTTCTTCCTAGAGTCCCAAGTAAAGCCGACCTAGCTTCCCAGCCTGATCATCACTGTCCTGGCCTCAGCCCCTGCCTGACCTTCCTCACATTGCCCCTTGCCCAGTCTCCAGGCTACTGCTTCTCTAGACTCACCCACCAGGGCAAAGTGCTCTGGGAGGCTTTGGGCCAAAGGTACTGGGGGAGGTGTATGGGACTGGTCTTACAGCAGGAAGACCAAGGACTGAAGCTTGACCTTTAACCTGGGAGGAAGATAAAGGGAGTGCCAGAGCAGAGGCATCTTGCACATTCTCAGCTCCCCCCTGCACATGTGGCTGGATAGGCAGGAGCATTGGCCAAGGCCAGGGGTGGCTTCTGGTAGCCTGTTTGGTCCACAAGGTGGACCTGTGGGCTTAGAATCCAGACTCAGGGTGGGACAGAGAGGGGTGGAAACAGCTAGTAGATGAGCTTAGACTAAAAAAACCTTCAGGGAACTAGCCAGTTTCTGGGAGAGGGGTGCCATGGGTGCTTCTGGGCTTGCAGAAAGAACCTATCTCCTTGCCTGCCTTGGAGAGAGAGCAAGCTTAGGGAGGTCTCACTTCCTACTGAGACCCTCCCAAGGAGCCCTGGAGGAATCTGTGCCCCAGCCCCTGCCCAGCAGGCTCTGGCTCAATGGCACTCCAACCAGTCTGACCCTTCTCTCATCCTGGTCTCAGGAGACCCACCGGCTGTACCGTCTGAAGCTGGAAGAGCTGATCAAACTGCAGAACAGTTGTACCAGCTCCATCAGTCGGCAGAAGAAGAAGCTCCATGAGCTGGCGCTCGTCCTAAAGAAGTTAGGGGAACCCCCCCCCCCCCCCCCCCCCTGGGCCTTCCTTGGCCCCTCAGTCTTGGTGTCTTGGTTTGGGTGTGGATGTCTCACCTGGTCAGGTGGAGGGCTGGTGCTGACTCTGTGAGTGTCTTTGGCATAGCTCCTCCCCTCTCTGAGCCGTGGTGGCCCTCCTGCCCCACAGGTGTTAGTGTGATACTCCTGCTCTGACTGGCTTCTGTGGTCCCACCTGCAGATGCAAACTCTCCCTCCCAGTGGGGGTCCAGGAGGCTTCGAAAGAGCTGGAGAACCAGATCAAGGAGCGCCAAGGTCTCTTCTTCGACATGGAAGCCTATTTGCCCAAGAAGAATGGGTGAGTCCCTGCCCCCAAACTCAGTTCACAGCCGCTGCTGGCAGATAGGCCTGAAGTGCACTCTCACTCTGCTTGGTCATTTGGTCAGCAGAGGTTCCCTGGGCCCACTCGGGCTGAGCAGTCTATCTTAGGGGAGACAGCTGAGTGACAGCCCACTGAGATTGGGGGCTTTGTGGTGGACCTACAGTGAACAGGGGAGTAAAGCAGGCCCCTAATCCAGCCCAGGAGGTCAGAGAGCCTCCTGGAGCAGCTAAGGCCTGAGTAGAGTTGAGCCTGGCCAACTCGGGAAGGCAGTAATAGCAGTGGGAGGTGAGAGGTCCTAATGAGAACGCAGGGGAGCCAGGCTGGGCCCAGTAAGCAGGGGAGAGGGACAGGTTGTGGCACTTCCACAACTGAGAAGGATGAGTAGGTACAGTGCAGAACCCTAGGCTGAGTGTAAAAAATTCCAGCAGAGATGGCAGGTAGCCAGATAGCTGGGGGAGAGCATGTCCTAGAGGGCAAGGTAAGAAGGAGTGACAAGCCTCAGATCAGATGGCCTGAGGGGGCAAATGTAGTAATGAAGGGGAAATACTTCCTGGAGGTCAGGTGACCTTGGAGAGAACCACTTCACAGGACGGTGTGGGTGGAAGTTGATACTAGGAATGACGGAAGAGCTGAGGAAACAGCCAAGTTTAGGTTACACTTTGGAAGCTTGGCTGTGAATGGAAAGAGGAACTAGTACCTAGGACTTAGTGTGAGGGTTGGGGCTGGGGTGTGGCTTTTGCTTGAGCGTATGTGTAACTTTGAACATAGGACAAATGAGTATACCTACCTGCTGAAGGTGGGCGAGCAGAGGGAGACACCCAGAAAGGGAACACCAAGTGATGGAGGAAAACTCTTGGGAAGATGGAGGGGGCTGGACACGGGCCCCTGTTGTTTGGGGATGAGAAGAGGTGCAGAGAGAAGTGTGACAGTGCAGGCAGGAGAGGTGTCAGGTGCCAGGAAGGGGGAAGGATGGGATGGGGAGCCAGTGGTGGTCCTGAGAGGCAGCCTTGTCTAAGTGCCCACTCTGCCCCTTAATTTCTTCACAGCCTTGGGCAAGTCCCTTAACCACTCTGAGCCCACCCATAGGCTTGAGTGTGAAGAGCCCGTGTGTGGGTATAGCTGCTCAGTACATGACTGTGACTCTGGGAGAGTCTTGAGGTTTCCCTGGCAGAAAAGGACAAGACAAGCTTAGCTGATGGGTGTGATGATAGTGCCAGGAACTGGGAGTTACAAGTTGGCAAGAAAGTGGTTGACATGTGAAGGAGGGCTTGGGGACTTAGCTGGCTCAGGAAAGAGGAGCAGGGTCAACAGTGCCTGGGAACCTCTGGGTGGGGAGGGTCCACGTGGTGAAAGGGCTGGGTGGCTGGGCACTCTGATCAGAGTTATAACCAGTGTTGCTGAGGAGCCACTCTTGGTTGGGAGGAGGTCCTGGATTGGGGGTGAGTGGGTTGCTGCAGTGGACTTGGGGCTGCAGGTTCTTGAAAGTAGCAGGAACTGTAGGGTAAGTGCCAGATGGGAATCCTGCACCCAGACATGGAGTCCACTGCCCAGACCCACAGGAGCGATCTGAGATGTGGGCAAGGCTTTCATGGGGTGGAAGAGCCAGGCTGCTCTTGAGGACCCACGGTGGGGGGCGCTGGGGGAGGGTAGGTGATAATGACAAAGGAGGGAGGGGAAGTTGTGCCTGAAGCAGGATTTAGGAGTAGGCAGAAACAGAGGCTGCACTTCAGTGTTTCCCGTCTGCAGCATCCCAAGGTCAGAGTCCTAAATCAAGTCCATGGGTAGTGATCCAGCTATTGGTCTGGCACACTCCAAGGCTCAGCTTTTTGGCTGCCTTCACCTGGGGCCTCTTCTTACCCCATCCCCCCCTTTCCTAGGTTGTACCTGAGCCTGGTTCTGGGCAACGTCAACGTGACACTCCTGAGCAAGCAGGCTAAGTAATTGGTTATTGTGGGTTGGTTCTCAGTCCGGCTCTCTACCCTTCTGGGGTCTTCCCACTGCTCCAACTGCCCTGGCCAAGCCTTGGGGTTTAGGGGCTACTCCCTCATGCTGGCCCAGGCCATGCATGCAGGTGCCTCCCTTCTCAGGCAGAGGTGAGGGTGGGTCCTACGAGCATCCCAGCCTGTCCCATGTGTGTGTGTTGTGTGTGCCCCCCCCCCCTCCAGGTTTGCCTACAAAGATGAGTACGAGAAGTTCAAGCTCTACCTCACCATCATCCTCATCCTCATCTCCTTCACTTGTCGCTTCCTCCTCAACTCCAGGTGGGTATCCTACTGCTTGGGGCCAGATTTTGTTTGCTCCCGGCTTCTGCACCAACCCTGTGTTCCCTCTGCAGGGTAACAGACGCTGCCTTCAACTTCCTGCTGGTCTGGTATTACTGCACACTGACCATCCGAGAGAGCATCCTCATCAACAATGGCTCTAGGTGGGCAAGGGCCTGACCCAGCTCCTGGGAGGTGGGCGCGGGGGAGGAGGGGGCATTGGAGCTACCCTAGAAAGTGGAGTGGCGGCGCCATGGCCCTCTGAGAAGCAGGACCTGGGCTGGGGTGTTGGTTTCTTCCCACCTCAGACAGCTCCCTGTCCCCGAGCACCAATCCTGGGGGCTAAGGGTTACAGAAGTGACAGCAGCTTCCTGATACAGGATCAAAGGCTGGTGGGTTTTCCATCATTACGTGTCCACGTTCCTGTCGGGAGTCATGCTGACATGGTGAGTGGCCCAGCTTGGCTCTCGGGGCCTTGGCAGTGGGGGAAGTGGGGAGCCAGGACAGGAAGACTCGGCTTCCCCAAGCTCTCCCCCTTCCCTCTGCTCTCTGCCTTAGGCCCGATGGCCTCATGTATCAGAAGTTCCGGAACCAATTCCTGTCCTTCTCCATGTACCAGAGTGAGTGTCTCAGGTCCTTGCTCAGCTCAGGACTTGCCCAGAGAGAGGGGCGGGGAAGGGACTTGGGCTCCAGCTCAGTCCTGATGCCCTCCACCCTCAGGCTTCGTGCAGTTCCTGCAGTATTACTATCAGAGCGGCTGCCTGTACCGCCTTCGGGCTCTGGGCGAGAGGCACACCATGGACCTCACTGTGGGTGAGTCGGCAGGAAGCTCTCCACCTGGGTCTGAGTGACCGTGTCTGTCACTGGTTATTCTATGCCCTCCCCTTCTCCCTCACAGAGGGCTTCCAGTCCTGGATGTGGCGCGGCCTCACCTTCCTGCTGCCCTTTCTTTTCTTTGGACATGTAAGTTGAACCCGTGTCCCTTTCCCCCTGGCTGTCCAGCCCCTGCTCTGGCTGGAACAGGGACTGTGTTCTATGTGAAACCCCCCTCCTTCCCAGTTCTGGCAGCTCTTTAACGCGGTGACGTTGTTCAGCTTGGCCCGGGATCCTGAGTGCAAGGAGTGGCAGGTGAGCCAGGGACCCCGAGAAGCACGCTGGGAGGACTGTGGTTCGGCCTCTGTCCTAATCCCGATTCCTCTCCCAGGTGCTCATGTGCGGCCTCCCCTTCCTCATCCTCTTCCTTGGCAATTTCTTTACCACCTTGCGGGTTGTGCACCAGAAATTCCACAGTCAGCGGCACAGGAGCAAGAAGGATTGAGGCTGGGTCTTCTTTCTGCCCACTGGCCCGGAAGGGGCTTCTGTACCCCATGTATTGTTTTAGGAGGCGGGACTCCCTCGTCCAGAAGGTCTTTCTGCTCTTTCTGGGTTTTGTGGGCTCTGTGGGCCCCAAAGGCTGTGCTGGAGAAAATCTGGGCCTGTGTCCCAGCCTGCGGCAAGCTGGGGGCCAGTGGCCTTAATAAAGGAAGAGGCACGGAGGTGGTGCGCGGTGTGTGGTCTCCTGGCGGCCCTGTGCTGCCTCAGCACGGGTTCTTAGGACTGAGTTGGTCTCTCTGGTGTCTCAATTAAGTAGACCCAGGTGGAGGCCCCAGATCTGTTTGAGGAACATCAGGCAAATACAGAAAACAACTTTATTCCAAGGGCCAGAGGTTATTTAAAATTATTTACATTCATTGAAAATCACATGGAGGGGCCAAGCCCCTGCACAGCTGAGAGAAGAGCCCCTTCTGCACAGCCCCTGGAGGCCTGAGGTGTTCACAGAGTGAGGACCTGGTCACCCTGGGCCATGGCCCTTCGGCAGGGGCCTCAGAGGCACAGCTTGGGCTCAGAGCAGTCTTTGTCACGGAGTTTGCGTCCTGGGACACGGCCCAGCAGAGCCCATCCGGGAAGCTGCAGAAGGGGAGGAAAGTGATTATATGGGAAGCCAAGTCTACAGGGCGTGAGGGCAGAGCAGGCTCTTAGCTCCACACGTCCAGGGAGTAGCGGCCCTTGGTCATCAGTTTCTTGATGTAGTCCACGGCCTGGGCGTGCTCCATGGACCCCAGCTCAGACACGATGTCGTAGAAGGTGTTCTGCACATCCCTCGCCATGTTCCGAGCATCCCTGTGGGGAGGAAGGTGGCATTGGGGGCTGGGCAAGGAGTGTCCCTGTGGGCGGACAGAGCCTCAGTCTTCCCACTCCTCTACCCTCACTCACCCACAGACGTAGATGTGGGCGCCCCCATCATGGATCAGCTTCCACAGGTGCTCCTTGTCCCTCTTTAGTAAGTGCTGGACATATACCTGTGGGCAGAGGGTGGTGCCCGTGAGGAGGCCAGTCTCACAGCCCTCCACCCCGCCAGAGCCACCGGCCCCTTCCTCACCTTGTGGGGCTGCTCCCGGGAGAAGGCCACATTGAGCTGGGTGAGGGAGCCCTCCTTGTGGAACTGGGCCAGCTCTTCCCGGTACAGGTAGTCCTCGTCAGAGCGGCGGCAGCCATAGTAGAGCAGCGTCTCACCCACCTCTTTACCTGGAGGGGAGAGTGCCCAGGGTGGGCATGGAATCTGTCCCATCCCTGCCCGCCCCACTCCCCTCCCATCCCCCTGGGCCCACATACTCACCCTGCTGCTTCAGCCAGGCCCGCTCCTGAATGAAGCCTATGAAGGGGGCCACCCCAGTGCCAGGGCCTATCATGATGACAGGTGTGGTGGCCTTGAAGGGCAGGCGGAACTGGGACTTGCGCACAAACATGGGCACCAGGGCCTTGCGGCCGTTCTCCCCTGCGGGCTCCTTGGCCCGAAGCCAGCTGGTGGCCACACCCCTGTTGATCCGGCCGGATTTGGTTTCATATTCCACAACCACAGCACAGATGTGCACAGAGTTGGAATGGACCTGGCGGAGGGCAGGAGTGAGATCAACAGTGGTGCCCGAGGCCCCATCCTCCACCAGCCCTGTCACCGGAGCGGTCTTAAGGCTTCTCCATCCCTTCTTGGTGCCCAAACCCAAAAGCCCCTTTCCAGGAGCTTTCCTGACTGGCTCTTGCCACCAGGGCTGGGAGCAGTGCAATCTTACAGCCAGCCTACTGGGAATTCGCCCAGTGAGCACAGGAGCTTGGGTCGGAGCTGGAGCTGCGCTCAGGGCTCCCATGCCCTCAGAGAAGCCAGTGCTGTGCTTTCTGTAAGTTGCCAGCCTTTCCCCACCTTGGAGGAAGAAGCGATGGAGTAGTAGCGGGCCTGCAGCCGAGGCAGCAGCTCACACAGGTGGTCGATGGGGGGCCGCAGGGATGGGTAGTCCTGCAGGATGGCCAGGATGTGCCTCCGAGCCTCCACCACCCAGCTCAGGTACAGCTCCTGGGGAAGACGGAACTTTGGGTGAGCCACGGGTGAGGGGACACAGTGGTTCCAGAAGACACGGCTGAATTGGGACCCAAACCCCTTGGAGAGTGGCTTGGTGGAGCTGCAGCCAGGGCTGAGGTGGTGGCGGTTTGGGTGCTGGGGGTAGAAGCAGCACTTGCCTTGCCCTCGCCCGAGGAGGAGGCCATCTTGCGCAGGTGTTCCTGCTCCGAGGGCTCCGAGGCGTACTGGGCCAGCTCGTAGAGCACGTTGGTGCGTGGCGGGTTGGTGATGTCCAGGTAGTAGGTGAGGGCTGTGCGGTAGGAGGTTGGGCAGGGGAATGGATGCTTCTTGTTGGACTCCTCTGCAGGGACAGAGAAGGGGATTTGGTGTGAAGGGGTGCCATGGGGTCGGGGTGGGGGAAGCTGAAGGCTGTTCTGCAGGAAGCAGGTGGCCCAGCCGGCACTGGAAGCGGGGCCAGCTCTTTGCTGGCCCTGGGGCTGAGCCTCAGGTTTTCAGCCCCACCCTTCAGGCCAGACAGGCAGTCCTCAGAGGCAGGACCTTGCACTCCAGGAGAGCCTGTTCCTAAGCGGCTCAGAGAGGGCTGCAGAGGCAGGGCCACCAATGTGTGCCTGCCTGCGGGCTGAGCCCAGTCTACTGTGGAGTCCCAGGCTGTGACTGAGATGCCAACACTGCGGCTTTCAGCTGTGATGGCAGGGCCCCTCCAGGCCAGTGTGTATGCTTGGGTACAGCTGGAGGTCTACACGGCACACAGCTGAGCTCCACGTGCAGCCACTAGTGCAGGCCCCATTGCCAGCCTGGCTGCAGCCTTCTCTGCCACCAGTCAACAGGCCAGCTTTACTGACCTCCCTCCAGACGAGAGCAGGGCCAGCCTGGGAGCTGCCAAGAAGCATCTCCCACTCTGGGGAGGGAGGCAAAAAAAAAAATCAATAAAATATATATTAAAAAAAAAAAAAGAAAGAAAAAAAAGAAGCATCTCCCCCTCTTAGAGACGTGACTGTGGGGCCAGATGAGTCTCTGCCGAGGACACAGAGGGCCTGGCCCAGGAAGGGCTCAGCATTAGGGTTTGGTTCTATTTTTGGAAGGGCTTGAACTTACTGCAGTATAGCCTTCATGAACCACACGAGTTATGTGTGTGTAGCGTAATTAATTTTCACAACATCCTTGTTATCTGGCACCCAGATTAAGAAAAAACAACAACACACACACCCAAAACCAGGTGTTCCCAGCACCCCAGAGCCCTCTGTATGAGCCCAGAAACAAGGCTCAGGCTCCACACTGCAGGAAACGCTGTGTGAGGGCACCTTTCCTAAAGCCACACATCTGCTGTGGGGAGTTGTGAGCCTCCGCACCTCTTTCTGAGCAGTCCTCAGCAGTGAAGGTCCCCCAGCAAGGGTTCAGATTCTCCTGGGGGAAGAGTGAGCACACCACACCCTCCCCAGCAAGGTGCCACCTCCGAAGGTACAAGGACATGACATCCCCACGGAACGAGAGAGACAGACCCAGTGTGTGTCCACTGTGCCCCCACACCGGTGTAACTAATTATAACATAAATCAGCCTCCTTTCCTGGAGAGAAGGAGCAGCCAGGCTAGGAGACGAGGACGAGAGTGAGTGGGGCAGCACCAGGTAGAGCTGGGCCCCAGGTGGATGGTCAGCGGGGGTACCAAGAGGTCAGAGCAAGAGGCCAGAGGTAGTCCTTTGAAACCTTGGGGAAAATCCTATACTATATTTAGTGCCTCTTGCACTCTGAGCACCCTACATGGACCTGGAGGGCTGTTAGCGTTGCTGACTCTGATCCCCAAATTTGCAGGTGAGAAGATGCAGGCTCTGGAACAGGGAGAGGGCAGCCCTCAGTAATGGTGGAGCCAGGCCTAGGGACCAGGGCCCTAAAAGGTCCCCTCTTTAGGCCTCCCTTCTCTCCCTCCCAGCTGCCCTCACTCCCTCCTTCCTAGGGCTATGCCGGTGAGGGGATGGAGGGAACCCCAAGGTAGAGGACTAGACCCCATAGCTACTTTTGCTCCCTGCCCCCTAAGTTTGCTACAGAATTGATAACTGGGTACTGGGGCTTCAGGCCTAAGCAGCTCAACCTACGGGCCTTGCCAAGGGACTTATTCCTGTCCACCACCTCAGGCCCAGGCAGGCAAGGGGAGTGGCCTTGATTCCAGATCTCACCATCAAGATTGTTGAGGGACATGACAACATCCAGGTCAGCACCCAGGATCTCGCCGATCTGGTTGACCAGGGCAGAGTCATTAGCTGGGTAAACAGCCACATGGTCACCCGATTCATACCTGGGGGAGAGAGACGTGAGGCTCAGGAGGAAGGTGGAAGGCCTCTGTAGCCAAATCAGGAGGCCCCTTGAGGTGTGGGAGAGGGAGTGGCAGTAGCTGGTACCTGATTTTGGAATCTGTGATGTCTAATTCCAGGTGCATGAGGTGTCGCTCAGTTCCCTGGTTCAGCTTCCGGTTGGTGGTAACAACAGCCAAGAATGGATTCTTGGCATCAAAGGGGCTGGGTGGGGAAGAGAGCAGCTCAGTGATTGGCCAGGTCTTCAATCTGAGTCTCCCTGCCCCAAAGGGACCCTTCTGGTTTCACAGAACTCAGAGCTGGCACCAAGGGCCAGAGAAAACCTCTCCAAGTATGTAAAGGGCTTTCCCAGCCCGATTCCAGTTGTCTCCTGACAACTCCACAAAGGAGGTGGAGCTTGGTTATCAAAGTCTCTATTTACAGTTATGGAAACTGAGACCCTCCATACTCCAAACCCATTGGTGAGTTGAATGCAAAGGAGGACTAGGCCCATGAAGGTAGCTCCCCAAGGCAGAAGGTGCCTGGGGCCCTGAGTGACTGAGCAGAGCTGCGTCACCCAGCGTGCCTGGGCTACCACAGGAACAGGAGTGAACTTTTACTCTGTACAGTCACTGGAGTGTTAGAACTTCCTGGAAGAGTGGGGCTCCCGCCAGGCTGATTAAGCAGAGCTGCTGGTCTTGAATCCTGGTGGTCCAAGCAGGACTTTCCTGGGCAGCACCCGGTGTGAGGCAAACCAAGGGCCCACGTGAGGAACTCGGTCAGACAGCTGAGGGAGAGTTTAAGGAGTGTGCCCTTTCTCAAAGGTTCAGCTCAGAACCTTTTATTTTCTGGT